CGACCCCCAACTCCAAGATTAAACTCCTTTTCAGCTGCCGGAATGAGGTACATGTGCGTACCTTTTACACGTGGGGACGGAGTCAGTGGGGCGCCACTCCTTTACGTACGATTGGACGGTCGCGGTTCATGCGGTATGCCAGTTGTTTTCATAATTTTATTGGTATGGATGTTGCCACCCGTACACTCAACCAAACACACAACGTTCAAGCCGCACCCTACCCCACCTTACACAACCCGAAACTGTTGTACTTCTTCTGCGTACGTACTGGTATCCGTAGAAGAAGACCGAAACGAAAGCGGGAAACAAATGATACCACCGTGTGTACTGGTACCACCTCAGATAGAAACGACATCGTGAGGAAGCAGTACCTGCACCCTGTTACATGGCATAATCAATGGTTCTGTATGTGTGCTCGCACGGACTGGCATCGTGTAGAGTTTTTTTTTTCGCTATTTCGCCACTTTTTTCGGGGTATGTTGTATGTAAGTGTATTTCGCCGCCTATTTTCCGGCTCAGATATGCGTGTGTGTGCAGATACCGTGTCGAGCGTGGGCACCTACACTGGTCGGGGAGATGGCACCGGGGTGCGTGCATACAACACCGGTGTGCAGTTCATCGGAGATCGCACCGGTCGGAGAGATCGCACCGGGGTGCGTTGAAAATTCTAAACGAAAAGATTTAATTGCATTTCCGCACCGAGGTCGGAGAGATCGCACTGGTAGGAGAGATGGCACCGGGGTGCGATAAAAAACCCGAGGAATGTGAATGCCACCTCAGACTGTCGTAGATTGTGACGTCCGATGACCTGTCGGAGATCTACCTTGGGTTGTTGCTACAGATAGAGTCAGTGTATGATAGACGCTGAACCTTGCTGCAGCAAGGTCGCTCCCCTCCTGACACTCAACACAACTATCCGTACTCGTCAGCCTCTCCACCAGAGGTTGAACCGGTGTGTATCCACACCACACATCCCAAAGGGAACTTGCTCACACCCGAACCTGGAGACAACCGTTTCATGGTAAAAACACTTAAAAAACGATCGCACCCGGTTAGGGCGTGTATTAACGAAGTGCCGAAAATCAAAATCGAAAAAATCAAAATCAAAATCGAGATCTGATTGGTCGAATATCTGCTACCTCCTGACGACGCCCTTTGATTTTTGAGAAGTTCCTCTGTCTGGGAAGAAGTCCCCGGGGGACTTTTTTTATCAAAATCAAAATCAAAGAGGAGAGGAGTTCAAGACTTCGAAGGCTTGGAGTACCTGCCGCGAGGCCGCTGCAAAGCAAGTGTACGACACGACCTGCTGCACACTGCTTATAGAGGGGCTATCGGCACCCTACCACCGACAACATGGCCATTATTAGCCAGAAGACTCTGCTCGCCGGCAAGCCACAAAACGGGCCGGCTCGTTGGGTACTCGAGGAGAAAATGCCGATCGTGACAAGCGGTGAACGGACTGACGATCAGAACAGGGTTGCGCGGCTTTTTCGGGCTGTTCCGTGCGGGAGAGGGTAGTTGCAACCTTTTTTCTCCACACTCACGATACCCCAAGGCATCTAAACTTGTACGAGGCAGATGGTGGGTAAAGCTACCTCCCGTCGCGTGGCATTGCTAATGCTGTTGCTTCCTCCTTCGAAGAGTTATCGCTGAAAAACTAAACTGTGAGCAGACATTCGGCGCGAACTTGAACTATCCGCTCTCTGACGTGGATTTTTTAGGGTCAACCAAAACTTTTTTCCCTACACGCACGATACTCCACGGTAGCAGACCTTGGGCTTGAAAGATGGAGAAGAGACGTACCTCCTGCCGCGTGGCGTTGCTGTTGCTGTTGCTTCCTTCTTCGGGAAGTTATTGGTGGATATCACAACCCGTGGCGGCCCAAAACACCCAACTTGAAGTGACCGCTCGCAACCGTTGGCATTTTTGCTTCAACACAACCTTTTTTTTACGGTGCATTCGGCTCCTCACGGCCCCAAACCTTGGCATTGCCCAACAGCCCATGTTTCCAGCTCTTTCCGGATACCTTTCTTGAGGCAACTTGTTGAGTATTTGGCGAGATATCGGCTAACACGTGAACAGAAGAGCGTAAAACGCACCCTAGAAAAATCACCGCTGCGTTGCTGGCTCTTCCCCTGGTGCCAGGTCTTTTTGATTTTTTGCCTCATCTGTCTCCTATCCTCGTTAACCTACACGACCCTCTTTTTTCAGTTTTCCACGATAACGCATTTTGATTTTGATTTTGCGCCCATTTGGATTTTGATTTTCGGCACTTCGTTAATACACGCCCTTACTGCTGTAACAATCTCGAACGGGTAGTCTTTCTGTGAGGGTAGGTATACTTTCTAGAAAAACAATACAGCTTGTAACAGCACTTTTCTGAGGTGGAACTATGCGTGCTGTCGCGCGATGGCGTCAAGTGCTAAACAGCAGCTGCGTGACCACAACGAACGCTTCAGCAGTAGCGAGTGCTTCAAGACTAAAAGACTTACGTAGGACTGCACCAAGAGTTAGGAGGAGGACGGAAGGACTGCTGTCGGAGGGATTCCATGCCCCCCTCTCTCACCTCTCTCCTGATCGCACGCTCGATTTGAAGGCACGGTGGACGCGCGGTGTAGCCGAAACTGTCGCTCTCGAGTACAATGCACGTATACACTGGCTACTGCTGTCGAGGTCGTTCCACGGCGAGCTGTGCGTCACTTGCAGAGCTGTGAGTTGAGTTGCCAGTTGCCCTCGTGCCATAATGTGAGTCGTGGCTCCGTGCATCATTCGTCGGGGAAACGTACGTACCCCCAGGTACATTTTTTTTTTTGCCGACCGTTACATTTTTAACGGCCGATTGTTACAAGTTACACGACGTTACGTCATACACCTCTCCCGACCACAGCGATCCGAATCCAGGACTGGTTGTGTGCGATACTCTCTCTCTCTCTCTCTTTCTCTCTCTCCACGGCTCTAAAGGTGTCTGGTTGACGACTACATATCTACCGGCGGCGTAGATTTACCCCACACACCCTGTACCTCATCGCCCTACAAGGTTCCAATCCCATGGGACATGAAGAATGAATTGTTGTTGCGTTGCAGGGCTACCGTGGGGCTCGTCGCGAAGCCGAAACCGTCACTAGGTGCTGCCACGGCTTGTGGGGGAAATAACACAGATGCTCCATCGGTTGGATAGCCGCGCATACCCCACCATCACCTATACCCGTATCTCGCCCTACAAGACGCCGATCGACACTCAAGCACTGGTAATAAGAGTGTGGTTCAGCAGGTACGTTACTCGCAACCTTCTGACGATTGAGCGTGGGTTCGAATCTCGGTGCAGTCACACGAACGGAGATTTTTCTAGAAATAATACACAACTGGCCAAACACAACGAACGTGGAAATCGATCATTCCTCTCGCGTAAGCACAAGTTCGACTTCACGGTCGCCGAGGGAAAGAAGGAACCGCTGAATGCTCCTCGCGATGAAAATCGAGGCAAGGACAGAAGGAAAGGAGAGGCTTCAACTCCTGTGCTATGTGACCCCGGGTTGTGCCTCCAGAATTGTAGCGAAAAGCGACCAAGACGGGGATCACGAAAAAAAAGAAACAAAAAGAACGATCCACATGCGAGTCCTGCAAACACCATGAGTCACACCTCGTCTACATAGTCTACATTCGGCTGGGGCCGTTCCGACCGCATGTCCCATGACTTTGACCCATGGATCGTCCTCCTAGTTCCCCTTGTTGGACGGTTCATTGGCCAGAACGCACCGCCCAAGGGCAGCCCATCAGCACAACAAGTATCGCAGGAAAGCCGCAACAGGAGTTACAGAATCGATGCACGCATGGGGACCACGCCATACGCCATACGTCATACGTCATACGTCCGCCACGAGTGAGTGGGTTCTGCTGCAATGCAATGCCGCATGCCTCTTGTCTCTGGTCCAAAGGACGCATTCCCTGGGGGCATTTGGAAACAGGGATGCTTCATTATTCCTCACTCACATCCCAATACTCAGCTCCCGGGCAATCACCTAGGCTACCCCATATCACCGTTAAACTGTGCATACAAAGCATAGCAAGCCCACACCAGACAAGAGACATCCCACAACTTCGCCCCACCACAAACACCTGAGGCCAACACTCAAGACAAAAACTCTGCACATTCCACTCCCGATCAACACGTCTAATAGCCAAGACAACACGCCGCTATCGCTGGTTCTGGGGCTTCGAGGGTGGCTGACGCACGGGGGGTGGCGGTAGCATTAGAGTTGATCGCCTCTCCTTGTAGTAGCTGCCAAGGACACGAAGGGTAAAAAAAAACAAGACACGCACAAGGCGTCAGAACAACGCAACGGCGAACCAACTCACAGGTGCATGGGCAGCAAAGGGGCTCTTACCAAGCGTTGTGCTCCGCAAAAACGTGCGGCGGGTTCACGAGGAATTCTGCTTTGTGTGCAAGACCAACCACAACATCAACAAAAAAGTGACATGCATTATTTCTGTTCGACATTGGGCGCTGTGAAATCTGGAAATGGTCATGGTTGCCTTTTGGGTACTTCTAGAATGTTGCAGCGCATGATGGACATGGACTTGTACGTGGATGGTGGCATACGGCAGAACGGACGCAAAATGTCGTCGAGAAAATTCAACGAAAACAACAGAAGCTCGGGTCTTACTCATTGAAGTCCAATCGGAAGATGAGGAACCTCAGAATCTCCATCTTGCCGCATTTTTGCTCTAGCATACACCTGAGCTCCGATAGCTTCTCCTGCAAGCGCGGATGAACGAAAGCATCGGACGTGAAATAGGCTGACATAAACATCAACGTGAAGCACCCGAATTTTGCCATCGAGGCTTGAGCTGCCCCCCAAATCGAGATATCACTCTATTGTAGTGCTGGGGATGAAAATGTGCGGACTCGACAGCTCACTCAGGCTTTTCCCTCGTGCTCGGGGAATTCGGACAAGAGTTCTGCGCCCAGCGAAGGGGTGCCGCCAACGGCGTGTATCCCACCAAATGGGCCCGACAAAGGGCGCACTTCACGACCGACAAGACGAAAACCCTCGGGAAGACAACCGAGTCAACAAAGACAGCACATATGAATCGTAATCGTGCGGGCAAGTGCTCGGCAGCAGCGCTCCAAACAGTCGAGGCCACCAGCTTACAGCTACAGTACGTGCTGTCTGCATGTTTGCTGTTTGCATGTTTGGTTGCCGCCGCCCGACGAAGCATACCTCAAATCGGCGCGCGGTATCTTCGATGTTACCCATTCCGAAGGGGTCCCGCCCCAACCGTCGACCCCCCTGTGCGGTATCATCCTCTGTGCCCCACTGGCCCATTGCAGTTCGACGGTCCTTGTCAGCCTGTTCCGCCCTGTTGGGGTTAGGTGCATGTAGGTCGTCAACGGGTACGCCGTCAGTCACCATCGATACACTATGGACACAAGTGTCGCTGGCCCTGTGCTTGAGGCCCGGCCGGCACTGACGATGTTCGAAAGTCAACAACCGACAATCAACATCAATGCCAAGCTCTGATTGGTCCAAAGACCAGAAAAACAGCCCTCTCTGAATTGCCGGCACGGCTCAACTCCGACTTCCTAAACAAAAGTAAAATTCTCGAGCCGGCGTTCTCAGCCTCAGAAAATCAACACCCACAAAACTGTTGTTTTTTCGATATTGGACACAGGACTAGTCTACGGTGCGGTATGGTTGGAATGGTACGGCAGAAATGGTATGGTATGATATGGTGCAGCATAGTATGGTAGCGTGCCTCACCTTCGGGTGGTAACCTCTGCCATAGCACGGATGACCAGGCTCTCCTGATGTCGGCAGAAGTCGATGATGATGCCTAGGACCTGTTGTTGTTTTAACATGCGTCTCAGCTATTGTCATCGTTGCTGTGACCCCAAAAAAGCCAAGGGCATCCAAATATATGTACTTGTACAAGGCGTCCCTCCGGAGTGGGGTAAAGAGAGCACCGCGGCAAGGGGTGATGCAAGAAAATGGGAAAAGCTACCAGCAGAGAAACAACAGCAGTAAATACGCACGCATAGATAGCTTCGTATCAAAGGATTCGCGGCAGGTCGGCGCGAGCTCATAACATTTTCAACGGTTTTCTTAAAGAGCAAGCACCACATTTCGATCACGGCAGGCATATGTGCTTGAACATACGAGTGAACCACTCATGATGAATTAGCACAATTGGACACATCGCTCATCGTGCCACGTCACGTCACAGCACATCACAAGAGACTTGTATTAGACCAGTAGACATGTCTTAGACCAGTAGTTGCAACCAAAGCCTACGGGGTTGGTTGATGTCGCCGAGACAACAACAACAACAACAACAACAACAACAACAACAACAACGATTACTGTCTCTGACACCAAACATTTTCAAATCATCCACCAACCGAAAGCACAGTCTACATCTACAATGGTGAGAAATTGTCTTCGTCAAGTGGTTTCCAGGGACGAAACGGAGGCGATCCAGTCGGCTCGATTTTGACCATTGCACAAAAACACGACAAACCGTAAAATCTATGAAAACACTCCAACCGTTTTCAAATCAGCTACACCACGTTCGGTCATCGTCACACAAACATGACATCACGGCGGCTTTGGTACTGTATACTATTACGCCACCCGAGCGGTAGGCACCAACGAATATCTCAGGTCCTAGATAAAATCACGGAAATATAGTGGTAGTATAGTAGTGGAATTGGTCTTGGCAGGAAACAGCACAAATGTCGGGGGTGAAAGCGGCACAACGCAGGCAGATCCAACTGCAACTCCCAAAATACACCTAAACACGTTGAGGAGAGAGGCAACTGCTGTTGGCGGTGCCAAAAAGTAGTGAACAGCGACGAAGCAGCAAGATTCACAGTTCTACACACCCAACACGGGAAGTTCGAAAAGAGAGAAACCAACACTAAACAAGACCTCCGCGAGAGAGAGGCTGGCAATAACAGGTCTAATCCGCACTAACCTCCTCCACCTTGTTCTTCACGTCCGTGCTCTCTTCGTTCAGCATAGCCCTGGCGAGGATGCCCTTCATGTAGGCCTTGTGCGCTTGGATTATGTCGTCCAGGGTGAGGGCGGAGTCGAGGCTCTTCTGCAGAGTGCCCCACGAAGTCTCCAGCACCTCGAACATCATGTAGTTGCTGCGATGGGGGAGGGCGGTAACATGAGCCGAAAGCAGTAGCCATCAAGTCATCGGTCATCGTGAAATGTGTGGCAAAGAGGCCGCAGGAGCAAATTTCATGACGAGAACAACAACGGCGGCATTTCCAACAACGAAAACGGCCAAAACTGCGATAGCACCTGCAAGGACGACAACGACCAAACACCACAACCACCAGAACAACAATGCGACGACCACAGCAACAACTACAACAATAGCACATAGAGCACGTCACCGGACATCACAAGTTGCCTCAACGGCAGCGAGCATACCAAAATACAGATTCGAATCCGAAACAAACGTGAGCCCAGGATGATGGGAACGGAGATCACGCATCTGCTGCCAGCACCACCACACGCAGCAGTAACAGACACGGAAAGACTCAGGAACCAGACCAAGCGCAGAAGCCTCCTCGACTCCGTTGTGCCGCAAGAAGCAACAAACATGGTGAAAACATGCCATAGGCCGTCGCGAGGAAATTCTACACGACTACTGAAGCAGGAGCGCGTGTGTTCGTCCGAAGCAAGCTCCAAGGTGGCAAGGACCGTACACCACACACGAGGAGTTCGACACAGCCGCTGTGCCCCTTCAAAATTCGAGTTCACTAATGGTCGTGCCTCGACCGTCACCTATACACCGGGGTAGCTTGGCTACATTGTACACGAAAGTCGTTGCAGTCTAACAGCGACAACGTCGCCGGCCCTCTTTGGCTGTTGCTTCCCAAGAAACATGACGCACGTTCATGTAGCAGAAACAGACCATCCAACAATCGAAAAACAACACACGGACGTAACCTGAATCGACGAGGCTAGGGCTAACCTGAGGTTAGTAGTGAGGAAAAACATCTGGCCGCGAATTAGGCTGCACCGGTGCAGCGCGCCTCTCAGCTCCGGAAGGGCTTGCTCCAGCTGTCGTCCAATATTATTGTAGGAGTATTGTTGTCGTGTTTCAGCACGCCGACGCACCAAGGCCAAGTACAACAAGCCATCACAGCACGCCAGCAAATGAAAGGCAGAGCAAGGGGCAGCAGGAGGAGAGAGCACAACAAAACAGAAGACAATGGAAGCGGATGATGTCAGTCAGGGTTGACAAGAGCCAACTAAGGAGTGGGTTGGTGCACAACGGCAGGCGCAAGAACGTGTTTTTGCGCTCTCTCTCTCTCTCTCTCTCTCTCTCTCTCTCTCTCTCTCTCTCTCTCTCTCTCTCTGCTGTGTTTCTCTCTCCCCCTTCCCCCAATGTATTTCTGTCTCCCTCTCGCTGTCAACATTCTCTGTTGCTCACCCGGACGTGTGTGGCGCTTGTGTGAAGTCGCCAGGCCGAAGCCAGGCTCCACTCTGCCCGCTTGATACGCCAGAGCAGGTGGAAGACTCTTCGGTACTCGACTAGCACCTGGGGCACGACACATCAGATATCAGTGATGGCCATTTGGAGATAAGCACGAGAAATGAGTCGTGTCGTTAGAGTACCTTCATGATCGACATCGTCATCCGTCTCACCGAAGCATCACCGACAACGTTGCCATCATGTCGACCTTGACTTCCATGGCAATACAACAAGTTAAAACATCGTGCTAACAGTAATTGCCGCAACAGCATGCACAACGCTTGTTTCGCCCCCGAGGCGCAATTCATCAGAAAAACGGCGAAAACGCCCCCAAAACACCCACATTTTCTTTATTTGAGAGAACGGTGACTGTACAACGCTTATGACGACACCGAGAGGTAGACGTTAACCTTGACAAGGCCTTCATCACCTTGTGAACACCCATTGGACTCCAAGAAGAGCGCTTTCTGGTAAGTGCAATTCATGCTAGGATTGGGAAACAATATACTCGCCAAAACCCGGCCCACGTATTCTACTGCATCACGGCGGTATTCTTCCACGGAATATTTCTGGGAGGTACATGTACATATCTATCGAGGAAAGCGGTAAACCAGCTCTCAACAACGTGCTTACTCATTACTTACCTCTTTCGTAACCACGGTCGAGATGGGAGCGCCCACGTCGTACTCGAGTGAAAACACATCCCACCCACTGAGATTGAGAGCAAGAGAGAGGGAGAGATAGAGAGAGAGAGGGAGAGAGGGAGAGAGGCATTACCACACAAACGCCGTCAAAACACACGGTTTAACGGGCCGAAGACGAGGGTAGTTGCGAAACAGTTTTGACAAGGTGGTCATCAACGACAAAGAGATCCGCCATGTGTGGTGTGTGGTATCTCATGTCACGCTAGTACTTGAGTTGAGAAGTGTTTTCATGATTTGGGCTCATGTTCACCCGAAAACACACTTCCACCGGGTATGGTGTTATCGTGTGTGGTGCGTGCTATCTCATGTGGGTGCGTCATCTTGTGTTGCACAAGGCACTATTCCGGTGGTTGTATATTGCGCCAACGGGCTCCCTGCGGGTTGGCTAATAGGATCATGATGTCGAAACACTTAGAATACAGAAGGACGTGGTACGGTAAAGATGCCGGAGCACGCGTATCAAACCTACTCCAAGATCGTCTCGCCCATCAACACAATAAGAACAGTAGGTCCAGTGTCCAATGTCCAGTTTCCAGCTACGCCGTAGGGCAACAAGTAGCATGGCAAGAACATTGGTGCAGTATACTTAAGAGCAACGCTATCGCTAACGACTAATTCTTCACGCTACGGCCCGGGGTCATCGCTCACGTATCAGACTCCGAACCGCCGAAAATCTTGACTCCGATTCTAGCAACGTCTTCCGCTTCGTCCTGCAGGATGGCGCTGGTCTTGATCACGCCCTCGACTATCCCCATGACGTTGTGCCGGTATATCACCGTGGCCTTCTTGTCAAGCTCTGGCCCGAGCACTTCGATAAGGGTGAGCATGAGATCTCCCTGACATGACCAAGGCGGTTACGTTGTTGCCGAAGAAAGACTGAAGCATGTGAAGGTGGGGTCAAGGTAGCGACTATCATCCAGCACCGCTTCGAAGGTAGCACCAACAATCAGCAGACATCACAAAGACCGAACTAGTACAGTAGCCAGCATCAGCGTGATAGACAGGGTCATCATTGTACATGACCAGGAAAAAGGTAAAAGGGGGCAGCATCGTAACCGTAGAGGACGCGGCTTCGAATCTCGGAGGCGCCACCAGACCTGGGATATGTTCAAAACAAACATACAGCCACGAACCGAGAACGCCTACTTCGCGGGACCTCAGCAGTCGACTTTACGGTCGGCGCGGGAAAGGGACCGCTCCATCCATCCTTCTAGCCATAACAAAAATATTACACACATGCGTTGAGGTGGCATGTGTCCGCTGTCCGCTACCGCACGTTGGTCAGTGAATCTCACCTGTCCGTGGAGAAGAAACTTCTTGAGGACTCGAAGGTGCGACTTTAGCCGGTAGGGCCCGAGCATGAGGTGCACGAGCCTGGCGTTGGTCAAGGCGGAGCAAGACTCCACCACAGCCCTGAGGGATATCGTGTTCCCGTACTCCAGCGTTGTGGCTTGGGCCGCTGCCTGCGTTCGGAGATTTCGGAGATTTGTGGGGCCTCTTGGTTCGCCATATGAGAGATTGCCGTGGGCTGATGCAGATGCTCTACACGTTGCTGAACGCCGGGTGGATAGGAAAATGTTGGAAAGAGATCGCCGTATCTCCTTGCGTTGTACTCGCATGATTCTTGAATTCGACTGGCCTAAACCTGCAGTTTCTTTCCTGGCGTGTACTCTGAATAAAAGGACAGACCTTTGTGTTGAAGAGACTAGATGAACACCTGGAAGGCACTGCGGAGGTACCCAGATAGTTTTTCATTTATGGAGATTCAATTGGGGTTCGCAAAGGCAAGCAATTGAGTGGAAAATCCACTCCGCATGTACGCAAGCGCAGTAAAATGGCACCATACATAGATGCGTCCAACCAGCATCTAATCAGGCCGCAGCATCAACCAAAGCTTCTTGAAAGCTTCGACTCGCTCAATGAAACGGCCGGTCAAGATCGTACAAGCACCGGAGCAAAATGCAGTGCATGTCCATGTGCATGCCCACTACAGCCTCCACCAGCAGCCATCATCCCTTGCTGACAGCCGCACCGGTAGCCTCCAGACAGACACCACCAACAGACAGAGACACCCACACGAAAGCATCACCAGTAGCGCCAGCCAACTCGCCTTCGCCATGGGCCCCATGATCCACTCCGAGTCCCCGCACAGGCGCCTCAAGAAGTTGATGGCCTTTCCGATGGTGAGGATCTTCACGGCAACCTCCTGGTCGATGAACTTGGGCAGCAGGCACAGGTCCAGGTGGTAGCGGTCGTGCCACAAAGTCTCCTTCAAAACCGTCGCGAGCTTCTTCTCTTGAACGAAAAACTCACTGCAGTTGTCGACGCAGCATCATCATCATGTCAAGGCCAAAAACAACGCGGGCGGGGCGCCCAGGACAGGGGAGTGAGCAACACACTCGTAAGGCAATGCGTATCGGGGACAACGTGCGGGTAAGACGGTTGGGGAGCGTTCGTGACAGCAGTGCAGTGTGCTAGCCCGTGCTATCATAGATGGTGTGCATGCGGCGAGCGTTCCATGAATCGTACTGGTTGGGCAAGTGCTAAGAGAGCCAGATGGAAGCGGCATGGCAGGGGCTCGCCACGGACGGCGTACGAACAGACCCGACCGACGCTGCCGCGGTCGTGAACGGAGACACGCACTGTACCAGGTACATATAGCAACCACCAACAAGCCTTGAACGATCTTGTCTTTCTGCCTCCATGTGTAGCACCATAAATTTCGTGCACGGTAGACCGCGACAGGCCCCGGGCTACTGGAAAACATCCACACGCACAACAAAATGTGTGCAACACCTCCTCGACCTTTTGGTTGGCCTGCCTCACCCTTGGAGTGTGCTGCACAGAGGTGACCCTGTTGCGTCTTACGTTGATCGGACGCTCGGGCTTGGCTGAACTAGGGACTCATCCATTCTTCGCAGCCCGGCTTGATGCGATCGTACGGACACACACGCGTCCACCTGCCTCACGGAATACACTCTTATCACGTGCTGTTCTCAAGCAGAGTCACAAAAATAGGCTACACATACACACAAGCTGTAATCCCGAGAATACCTCAGCCTCCCTCTTGACTCCTCCTCATGACTCCTCCTCATGGCCTTAAGAAGCTTGTTGCGTTTGTAGCCGCTCTGAGGCTGACCTGAGGCCGACGGCTTTTCAAGCGTCAGCCGGAAAACGCGGTCGATGCTAACAACAAAGACACCAAAAGGGCACAAGACACAACCGCGGCCTTCCCGTGACTCACTTATGGTGGTCTACCAGCTCCCCCTCGAACATCCACAGCTTCACCATCAAGAACAGAGACTCGCAGGCGCGGACCATCGTGCGCTGCACCAGCCCTCGCACGAACGGATCGCCGTGGTCTACGTGTGTGTGCAGGCACGAGGCCAAGGCTCCCCCCTGTTGTAGGGAACAAGAGGGGAGGCGGCGGGTTGCGTGCGTGCCGGGTAGCAAAAGTGGGGTGTTGGTATGTACAATAGTAGAGGGTGTGCGGGTGGAGCGTTGGTGTCTGGTGTATCGGGGGTCGACGCCGAGGAGGCGGCGGGTTTACACCAGAGGTGCACACGAGAGGTTCAACGTAACCCTGGTAATGAGAGAGAGAAAGAGAGAGGGGGAGAAAGAGAGAGAGAGAGAGAGGCGTGCTGGCATCCCATGCCTAGGGAGTCCATAGCCGGTGCCAACGACTCCGTTCCAAAAAAACTGCACCGTAATGCTGGTAACAGGGATGGATTGTCGCTACTACTGGTATTACGGCAGGCTTCAAGATGTGGGACATGGTAGTTCGATCGTTCGAAACTGCTGCCATCAAGCGCCGCTATCTACTGGGTTCGCCTTCCTTCGCTCTCGAAACCCCTGCAACCATCGCGTTCGAACTTCATGTTCCAACGGTCATACCTAGGCGGGCACGCCTGGGTATACACAAGCATCTCCACCTTAAGCTGTGCTGCCGCGGCCACAAGGGTTGCCATGACATTGAGCCGCTTCATCGGATCCTTCACCCACACGAACAGGCGCTGCAGCGTCAAGCCCTCCGTCCCACCAGCCCCGACCCCCACCCCCTCCGACTCAAGATTCAGCTGTGCCCCCAGTACGGCGATGAGTCGGTAGTACTCTGTCAAGTCTTCCTTCAAAGAGAACACGAAAGCCTGCTGGATGCGACCAGGACCGACGCCCGCTGAGCCGGCTGAGTCACGCCGTGGCGTAGCGCAGTAAGGTTGGGCGGCAGAGGATATGTCAGCGACACCAGGGCGAAATATTCAAAGAATAGTGATGCAAGAATAAGGACGAAGTGCGGTTTCTACTTTGTCGAAAGAGCGATGCGCGTGCTGCTGAGAACGTGCAAGTTTTTTAAGTTCTGAACTTTTGCGTCTGAGCACCTATTCAGCGTAGGCGATGGTGGCGTGAAGGAAAAGACGAAAAAATGTTACCCGTTTCAGTCCATCGTGGAGGGTATCCGCGCAAATGCATCTGCAAGGGTGCAAAGGACACGACACGTTACAACGAACACACAACCGCCGACTATTGCTGGGTAGTGTAGTGCTTTATCGTATATGATCCACCGACTGGGCTAACAACTGGCAACGAAATTCGCGCCGCTGTCTACTGCCAGTGGAATTGATTGCCTCGCTATTGACTAGAATTGCTAATATACGGACAACGAGCCTTCAACATATTTCCATAACAGCACGAAGTTCACGTGTTATGAGCAAACCTTGCACCTCTGTTTCTGTTTGGCTGACGGGTAGACAATGGCAGCGGAGCAAGGTAAGTGGTAACGAACCCATGTCCTCCTCACCATCGACGCTCTGGTTATATCGCACGACCGTCGTGAATAGCCAGCCCATCTCCAACATCTCCGTTACCATCGCCCTTTGCTTCAACCCCAACCTTAGCCGCGGGTCGAGCACGTAGCCAGACTCCTCTTCGCAGTACTTGATGTATTGACTGTCGATGCCCTGCAGTAGCGCACCGAAGGGTAGGTGTTCGAGACGAAAAGCGACATGCACATTTCTGGAGCTGAACATCTGGCAGTGGGAGCATAAAAAAAACTTGCCACGTCTAGTGCAAGGCACAGAAATCGGCACATTGGCGTACACCGTTCTAGTGCAAGACACAGAAATCGGTACATCGATCTACACCACCTTCCCAAAGCTGCCAGACGTCAAATAGCTCACAAGAGCGCTAGCCTCAGTCGGGACGGTCGAGTCAAAGACATGTCGGTGTCGAACGGCCAAATGCGATTAAAGAAAAGCTTGACTATCGTACACCCTTCCTACTGTCTTCTGAACAGCACAAACAATACTCCCACCAGGCGTTGGCCCATCAGTCAATCACATGCTCCAAAGATCACCGGCTGACTGCAGGTGGCATAACGTTAGATATCACACCCCCTTGGAGTGGTCTTCAATGGTAAAGGTGGAATATTCTCAAGGTTGAAAGAGTGACGGTGCCGAAAATGGCGGGAGGCGTTGGGACCGTCTCGTTGACGGCTTTCCGAAAGCGTATCGTTTGCTTTATACGCCCTCTTCGTCGTGGAGTAATCGAGATTCGAAATTTAGTCGAGGGGGTGTGATACCCTACATAATGTCAACTACGGTACAACCGCCATTCACCGCCGCTCGAAGCCTCGATTCCGATTGCGCCTACCATTGTACCCCCTCCCACCCTCCTACCCCACGAACGAGGACCCGGCAATAACCTCCGCACCTGAAACGCGTAGAGGATGCCTTTCAGCAACGTCCTCTCCGTCACCTCCGTCGTTCGCCGCGGCATGCCTCTGCTCACCACAGACCTATGCCTGCCCGCCCGCCCCCCCATCGCCTCGGTATGCCGCCGCCCCTCCCCTACAGGTTCACGCCCGTTGGAAACCCCTCCTCCGTGGTAACCGTCGCCCCCCACCGACGCTGTAGCGGTGGCAGGCAGCCCCTGCCCGACGACATGACCGATACCTGACAGTCCAGCCGCCGGCTCTGAGAAAACCCGGGGAGGCATCTGGGGAATCGCCGGGGGGGCGACGCCGTGGTGGTTCGCCGCCGCCGCCGCCGCCGCTGCCGTGCCCGTGTCGGTGAGCGCGTGCAGGAGGTGCAGCATGGGGGCGCGATTCTTCAGGCCGGCCAGGAGCTTGAGGCGGCGGTGCAGATCGTCGAAGCGAAGGGCGGCCTCCACGCCGCTGCTGCTAGAGCTGGGCGTCTGCCGTCATGTGTACACAGCAAGGACAAGCACAAAAATTGCGTGTCGTTGTGCTGTGTTCATGTGCTCGGCGAGTGGACGAACGATAAAATTTACTGGCACGCACAGCACAAGTCAAGACTGAAGCCCCCAGCGGTCATAGCAGTCGGACAAACCTTTCAGGTTCCTTCCTAGCGATGACACAACGGCGGTATGTGGCGAAATCTATCGGGAAGCGGGTCTCTCTTAACGCAACAGTTGCACATGGATTTGATGCCAGATCGGCATAGAGCCGTTTGCGCACGAGTTGAGGTTCAGCGGCCTCCCTCGCGTGAGCAGGAGCAGGAGCGAGACTGCTACGATGGCGGTAGCCGATTTGTCGCACGACAAACGTTGTGTTTACCACCCACGGTCACCCATACACACCATGCTGCCCTTTCAAGCACCCCCACCCCGCAGCAATCACCACGATATGAAACCGGTACGCGGCGTTCATCGTCCTACAAATTGGAGAGCCTTCAGTGGAGAGGTGTGATCGTTTCTCTCTCTCGCTCTCTCGCTCGCTGGCTCCCCTTCTCTCGCTGCCCCCATCCAGATGTACACTGGTAAAAACTTGTATCATGTATTGTCATGGTATCGCAGGCATATGGTGCACACCATGTGTATTCGAAATAAATAAACATTACAGAGAGACAAACAATGTGAACAGTAGTCGGAGATAAATCTCAGCAGCGACGTGGTAAAGTCTGGAAGACGGTAGTCTATGATTCTGTGGTCAAGTCTTCCAAACGGCAGTGATGCCAGTCGGCGAGAATACTTTTTTTGTCCACAAAACACAACTTCCTTCTCCTGGAAGCCCCTGTCGGGTAAGCAACACAAAATACCGGGGATAAGCCCCTCGTTATGTTATTTTCTACTGCAGCAGTCACATCTGCAGCAGAGCATGCAATAGCAGTGTCTGTGGATTCGGCTGCGCCGTCATGTTACTGCTGTATGTGCTCCGCAAGTTATGGAGTCATGCATGAAGAAAAACGTACTGCTGCTGTTGATGGCATGTCGAAAATTTAAAATTTGAAGTCGGAGGAGGAGCGGAAGATGTGCTCACCTTGACGAGTCTAGTCCGGATGACTTGCGCAACGGAAGCCTCGTCCTCCACCATCAACGGCTCCCCGATGTGACTCGTCAGAATGCGGATGCACAGCCTGACGGCACCGTGGATCTGTGCTTCGGAGGGGGCGGCGGCTGCGTCGGAGTCACGTCGACCGCAACGCTCGGAGATGATGCTGCGCGCCAACCTCTCCAACAGTTGCGTGGTGTCAAGTGCTGCCTCGGACGATGATGGCGGAGCCCTTCGCCCCATGGAAGGGTCATCCGTGAATCGCTGACGAGACATGTCGGCGGCACAAGCTGTAGAGCTCCTGTCACGCGATGCAAAGGCTGTCACACTGCTGTGTGCAGCTAGTAGCTACTAGTAGCTGCTGCTGCTGCTGCTGCTGCTGTTGGTGCTGCTGTGTGTCGGATCTCTTCTCACCCACCAACGACGAATGGAATACACTGGCAGCTTGGAGGCCAAGAGCGACACGTCGTAGCACTGCACCTCCACCTGCTCAGCTGTCCAACATGAGATCGGAAAAACTGGGAGGTGTTCACTGCTGGTTTCGGGGCCGCAAGGACACAACTGCTTGCCCAACGGTGGGTGGCGACGCGGTTGCTAACAGGTGGCTCTGTTGAATCGGACAGGAGTTCAACGATCGAGGGCGTTACCAGTATGTTGCAGGGGATCGGGGGTACCAACCTCGGCCGGCCGTGGCCAACAAAAGCGTTTTCAGGTGTTGACCGTTCCGTTTGCCCGACAACGTACACAACCCCACGGCTTCCAGGCCTCGCAGAGTTCCATCTCTGTCGCTACAGTAGAGTAGGCTTTCTCGCAGGGCAGCCAGTGTTCTGTCTGTTCACTCGACAGCACACGCACGCGCGGACTTGCTGCTGCAGTTGTACACAAAAGACACAAGACATGTGTTGTCTCGGGCTTGGAGGAAATCATGTTTGTAGTGGGTAGTATTCGCGATGGACACGGCGTGTATCCCTGGGTTTTGCCTCTCGTAAGTCATGTTGTGGGTTGGCTTGGGAAGAAAGTCGCCAACGTATCGCGGAGATGCAACCAAGAAGAAGAGGAGTCAAAAGGTATATTTACTGCTGTACGGAGCTGGCAGAACTAGCCTATCGAACAAGCGCGCCGGCGGCCAACTGTCGACATGTTTACAAAAGCATCCCAACAAGGGAACCAATGCCAAAAGAACGTACCAAGGTTAAACGTTAAACTGTTGTCGATAGTTATCATGAACGTCTGAACAACAACGCAGGTATGATACTATTATGTGCGTAAATCAACTAATAGGTGATACACACCGTATCGGTGGATGCGCCTGTGACTAGTAGCTAACACAATCACCAAACCCCCTCAAGACTCTATAACATCGTCACCCATCGTCTAAAGAGAGCGCGATAGCCACGAGGATGTTCTCGAAGCAGCACGGCTTTTCAGCCAACTCACCTCCAAGCGAACACCCAACGCCGTCGTTTCACTACATAGCAACAAGCCAACGGCCGAGCGTCTAACCATCGACAACACCACTGCCACGACCTTTGTAATGGTATCATCATGCCAAAATACACCAAGCGCGCCTGAATAATCGCTCTTCACTTTCTCATCATCACACAAGCCACCCCAGGACACCAACGCCAACAAATGAGGCAGCCAGGCGTTGTCGTCACGTCAACCACACCAGGCGCCCGCATCAAAAACTATTTAGTCACTTCAGTCCCACGACAAGATCGTCACTACCGCGGTGACGTTGTCGGACGTGCCCCTTTTCACCGCCTCCCTCACAAGCGCATTGGCTGGGTCGGCCTCTGCGTTACCCCCCCCAACCCCGTTGACCAAGGCGTTCGCCCAGCTCGGCGCCCTTCCGGTGGTGGTTGGAGCTTTCCCGTGGGCCGCGATGGCGATCTCGACAGCCTCTAGGCCGGTCATCACGTCCCAGAGACCATCTGCGGAATCGGGGTGTCGGAGAGAAAGTGGCGTCGAAACAGCGAAGTTACAAAACGATACGTAGAAGGGGGCAAGATGGAAAAAACAAAAATATGCTTTCCTCGGCATCAACCTATTCGGCGGCGCAAAAAGAATTATGCTAAGAACGGAGTGCACAATTTTCGTCAGCCCGTTGTCGCTGAAGGAAGCAGCAATGACAAAACAAAGGTGTTTTGCTAGACGCCCTAGGGTGCGTCTCAAGCTTGATCGCCGGACGGGACTCCTTCGTTGTTTGCGCTCTTGTCTACCGTGCTGATGAAGATGTACCTTGGGACGGGCGTCAAACCCCACATCCGACATGACACTACCGACAACAGGGTTAGTCTCCCATCAGAAGACGGAGTCGTGGCTATGAATCATTGTATTGTGTTGTATCGTAACACCTTGACCAAAATCCTTGCCTGACGCCACGATGACCACGCGATCGTGCTGCTCAAGCTTCACGCTCTTCACGGATGGCTCGGGCGACACCAGCTGACCGTGCATGTCGGGCGGCGGCGGCACCTGGCTGCCCGGCGGCTGTCCACCTTGCCCCTTGAATTGTCTATCTCCGAGGGACCGCGATACCGCCAAACGACAACTTACCTAGCTCGACGAAAAAAACGGAAGAACAACCAGACGACGGGGTCGATGATGGGCGGGTACTCGGTGAGCCAAAAGTCGGAAAACTCGGCGTGACGATCAACACGTCGTATCGTGTTGGTGCGTGACGATACCAGCAGAGGGCAAAGACAAGAATCAGCACCAAGCACAGAGTGAAAGCGAGACCGGTCGACATGAGGAGACGAACGATACCTGATTCGCAGACAACAAACCCAAAACGAACGCAAGCAAGGAGGTACAGGGAGTTAAGGTCGGTGCCGCGTCTAGTGGCAAGCGCCTCGCTTAAAGAAGACAATACCAGCAATTGCAATCTTCACCAACCACGTTTACGCTAAGCGGAGGTCCGGAAGAGGAAGCAGTGCCCCAATGTTGCGGAAGCGTAGGCAACAAGGGTAAGCGAAAGCAAGCAGGACAGAATGAGGATCGATGAGGGAGAGAGGAAGCCTCGAACGTATGCGAGCACCCGGTCGGCACGTTTGGCCCAATGCCACCCGTTCCCAGCCCAAAGCTATAGGTATTAGGCCTTGACGTACGTTCTCGTGTTGGACTCTGTAGCATCCATTGAAGACGACTTCCCCTCCTGCAGCCTTAATTCGCCGCTTTTCATGGGGGTCTTCCGGCTTGTGATCGACCGAAATGTTCTTGCACCGCAGTTTCCCCTCGTGTCTGCCATTGGGGGGGGGGGGATATGCGACATCAACGGCGGACGTTGCTAAATCAGGACCCACTCATCTTTCATCTTTCGCGTTGTAGTATACAAGCAGGGACACTACAACGCTATCACATAAAAAAAAATTGATACAGTGGATGCTCATGCCTTGACAGCACACACAAAGACATCGACACCGCGATAGAGCGGAAAACGTGTATTTAGAGAAGCTGGACTTGCAACTAATTACCGGTTGGAAGAGGCAAGTCTCGAGTCATATCTGACACTGAACAGATAAGATGGAAAAAAACGGTATGGACCTTCGGAAATACATCCTTGTCAGAACATGATCCGAAAACGATCAAATAGTCCTCATTGGGCATACATGTGAAGGAAGCACGACCACGCCGCGAGCAAAAAACATCGCAGCGCAACGTGTAGTTTCACCCAGATGTCCTATTTTACTGTCAAGCTCATTGTTGCTGTCGATCATCTTGTCTCCTCACCCCACACTTCCCAGCACCGCACGGCTGTCCCCGACGTTGGCCGTCACCAGAAAGTTCCCCACCAGCAAGCACGCCGTTACCGTCGTCCCATCCTGCCTGCTGTTGCCGTTTCCGCCACCGGTACCGTCATCCTCGTCATCGTCCTTGGTCTCCTCGGTCTCCTTCAGGATCTCGGCCTCCGTGCTGGCAAACCCCGCACGCAAGAGGCCCTCCAGGCGTTCCGTTGGCTCCCCACGAAGTCCCGTGGTTGGGGCAGCTTTGGCCACGTACGTGTGGAGCTTCCCGGATGGAGGAAGGGCAACCCGAACGTCAGAGGGGGTGACGCGAACGCAGCAGAATGGGGCGGGGGTGTACTTACTGTCGTGCATGGATTCAGTCTTACGAAGTCCAGCAGATACACCTGCGTAATAACTCTTTCAAGTCGCAACGGCGGGGCGAATCGACCTTCTTCAACCAATGTTTTTAACGAGGAGGAGAGAGGACTTGATAGCTTGGTGTTCAATAATATACCTTGCTCCTGGCGATGTCGGCCGCGAGATCTCCGTTGTGGCCGTCGAAGACCGCAAAGAAACAGGGGGGACACGCGTCGAACTTGGTGTGGGCATCATCCGGGGCGTGCAAGCATTGCACAACTGTGTGCCTGTCCTCCTGTAGAGAGCAAGAACGGTCGGAGACACTGAAATATATTAGCTTCGATCTTGTCCGCGCGTGTGCCACAAGTAAGGTTTTGTGTCAACGTGTTCTCTTTGCTTCACATGAATTACACCACCCGCTCACACCGCAAGGCATCAAGACCGAACCACGACCGACAAGCCTCCACCCAACGGCATACAGCAGCAGCCTAGGCTTGCCTGGTACTCTCTCTCGCCCCGAGACTCCGCCGTGCTGATCTTCGAAGGCCCAAGCTCTGCGTCCCTCTTCTTTTCCAAGAGCAACCCGAGCCGCGCGGTCACGGGCAGGGCTTCCTCCGTCGAATCACCCGCGGAAGCAACAGCAGTGGCGGCGGCGGCGGCGGCAGCTGTGGCCGCCACGCTTTCCGTCTGCGATTTCTTGTGACTCCGCTTGAACTCGTTGAGGGTGGCCGCCCCTAGGCCCTATTAATAGTAAGTCGGAGCAAAGGTAGGATAGGATTGGGGAATAGGTGTGGCGGTGAGCCGCGTAACAGAATCAATCTCGGTGTGATGGATTTTCGGGTCTCGAGTGAGTATTGTACAGCCACTCTCTCCTTTCGCTACTCAAGGTGTGTTGGATGGGACCTATCGTCGGGGCAGAGGACGCGTCGGGAACAACGTACTTGTACGGACCGGGGGACTGGCAGTGCGACATCTACGGGGCGCACACGGCGGCAATGCTGAGCATGGGAAGTCTGCCGGCGTTTACCCACATGGACGAGGTGCAAAAACCTAGTCTTCATGTGGGTTCGAATCTCACGAAAAAGTCGCAATCTAGAGGTGGGAAGTCGCACAGTCGCGAGTTACCAGATCTGCTGTGCTAACCCTTCTCACGTTGAAAGATGAAAGCAACGAGAGGGAATTGTAGAAAAAAAGACAATGATCAATGACTAGAACAACGGAAGCTTCACGGCAAATAAGCGGCGGACAGACCTGAGGACAAAACCACAGGTTTGTTGGCAAGTCTGGATGACTTGCCGCCATTGTTCTCGGGCTACATGTAGACAAAATTCACGAGTTTTACGCTACAGTACATGCGACTGCAGTTGCACTGATGCCGGAAATACATACCTGGAATTCAGCTCCCCCTCCATCCTTTCCCTCGTCCTCGAAACTGAGCAGGGACGCCGGGACCGCCTGCCGTTTGGACTTCTTTCCCGTGGAGGCTTTCTTCTCCTTCCCAGCAGAGGAGGTGGACGGCGTAGAAGACGATGATGTTGTTGCTGCTGACGGCACAGCGGATAACGACTTGGACGACTTGGGTGGCTTGGACGACTTCGCCGCCGCAGGTGCGGAGGTGAAATCATCGCTACGAGTACGTCTCTCGCTCGGTTTAGGAGGTCCGCTGTCGGCAGTGGCGACGGCAGGGTGCTTTCGCCGTCCGTGCTCGTAGCGGCGTGGCGACGGCGAGCCTTCCTCATCCCCACCGCTACGCCTTCCTTTGTCCGCTTCCTTGCTCGTCTTGCTCTTCTTGCTCTTCTTTTCCTTCTTGCTCTTCTTGTCCTTCTTGTGCTTCTTCTTCGACGCACCGTTCTTGCCTATGCCTATGGCGGACGATTTGGACGGCGATGGAGCTTCCACGTCTCCACTTCTGCTGATGCTGTTGCCAACAGCGCTGCCACCCTTCGTAGTCTGGCTTGTCGGAGCATCGGAACCCTTGCCTGTGCTCACGCGCCCAAGAGGCTCTTCCCGACGTGGCAGCCTCCGCCTCCGCCCCCGGCCGTCTGAAGACGACGAGGACGACGGGGACGGCGATCTCCCCCCCCTGCGGTGCCTCTCGGGCTTGTGCTGCGAAGCAAGGTCGCCCTTATCGACAGCGCCCCGGCCGCCGGACACTTGGCCGCCGTTCGTGCGTGAGAGAGAAGAGGCCGAGGAGCCCGTTTGCTGGACCGGGTTGTCTCTCTTGGCACGGTATGACTGCGACCGTCGGATGCTCTCGGAAGCAGTTGGAGCTGTCGGCGAGGGAGACGGGCTCCATCGTAATCGCGCCGCAGCACGCGGGGACTCGGCTAGCTCACGGGCGGGTGGGCTTCTGCTGCGGTACGGTTTGCTGGCCTGGGGAGAGGGCGTTCCTCGCCGCTGGGATCTCGTCTTCCAATCCCTGCCTCTCTTTTTCTCGTGCTTGTTGTTGTTGGGGCTGCTGGAAGAAGAGGGCGATCTGACTCTTTTCTGGGATACGGCTGAAGAAGCTGTTCGCCCGCCAGATCCTCGCTCTCTCTCTCGGGCACTCGTGCCTTTGCTCCTCTCGTTACTGCTGTCGCTGCTGCTGCTGCTTCTGTGCGCGCGGCGGCGACCGTGGCGGTTGCTATCACCACCGCGACTACTGCTGCTGCTGCTGCTGCTAGAGGAAGATCTTGGTCTCCTCTGCTGTGCCCGTGCCGGCCCTTCGAATCCTTGCGACGAGCGTGTGTGTGAGCGGTCAGGCACACCACCTCTCCTGTTATCTCCCCGCACCGTCAAACGGCGGTGCCCGCTACCGCTCGCGCTGGACGACCGAGACCGCGATCTTCTGGCCGGGGAGTGTGCTTCGCGATGCTTCCTAGAGTATTTGGTTCCGTTGCTGGTGTCTCTACGGTCACCGCTGCGGCTGGGGCTGCGTCTCCTCCTTCCTACAGAACGAGATCTACTCTTGGATATTCTGCTGCTGTCCCTGCTCCTGCTCCTGCTCCTGCTCCTGCTGCGGCTTTTACTGCGAAGGCTGCCGCGCTTGTCGTCATCTGTTTTCTTTCTTTTCGAACTAGACGACACACGCGCACTGCGTTCTTCTGATCGAGCCATCTGCTGCTCCCGCTGTTGCTTCTCTCTCCTCCCTCTCTGTGGTCTCTCTGTCTCGGCCTGCTTCGCGAGTGCCCACTCCTGTGTGTAGGGCACGCACAAAGGTGCAGCTTTACCACCGCGGTGTACTGATAATCACATCTGCGTCGCCCCTTGGCGAGGGCCTCACAGGCCCGCACAGGAGACAGGAACCGGGAAGCTCACGGCACGGAACGACGCAGGAGGACACGAGGGCCACGCTGGGGCGTATCTGTGTGTGTGCCGCAGAGAGGTTGGTGTGCTGGTGGGTGTGTCCTCTATCTACCACCTCCTTGTGGTCCCATTCGGAGAGGAGAGATGGTGAGAGCTTTCAGGCTTGCGCTGTGGGTCCTCTCGACGGCCTCCGTCAGCACCGCCGCGCTTGAGGGTCGCACCGACGCTACCGAGAGAAGTATTCTAGGCAAAAAGGTGCACAAATCGGATGTGATACGGGTTCAGGGTGCCAGGCTGAAGCGATTGGAGGAGCGCGTTCAAAAGATGAGGTGCGGTGTACAGGAGATGCAGTGTATATAGATAGCAGGGCAACGACATGGAGGATGAACTTGCTTCCCGGTTTGGAGTATCATGATTGGCGCGGCGATCGTTCGATCCGAGAAGTATTTCACAACGGCAGCACTGCGTTACGGAGAATATCTTGGGTGGTACTCCAGAAGGCATCCTGTTCCAGGGAGTTGTTGCGTTGAGCAGATTGTTCCGTTGTCGCCAACACTGGAAACACCAACTGGAAGAAAGAGTGTATGAACCCGTTTGAAACTCAGAAACTCCCAGGCTGTAGGCATACGACGAGCAGAGGGAGAGAGCTAGTGGGTTGATGTTTTTTTTAGGCTGTTTCCAACGCTACACGTGGCGAACCCAGATTGAACACCCGCTTGAAGGGATCCAATACGAGTTTGTGGCAGCAAAGGCTGGTGTCGTGTCATTGTCATTCATTGCACGAGAGGCCGAATCGAGATGTGCACTAGCAAGCCCCGCGGATGCGGCGGAATCGCTGTTGAGAGTTGAGAGGTGACGTATGCATAGTCACCCAAAAAGTCAAAAGGTTGAGCGGTGAGGCATTCCATTTCATACATAGACCATGTGCATGTATTATGAGCAACGGAGATGGAAAAATACAGCACATCCCCTTCAACTTTGGTTATATCTCAAACGGGTAGTCTTTGCTGTGTTGTTCTAACATATTTTCACATTCGGTTGACATATTTCAAACTCGAGATTCCTGGATTATTTGACTGGATTGTCGGGATTCCCGAGAATTCGAGTTTGAAATACCGCGCGGAGCTTCCCGAACCATGGGTCGGGATTTTCCGACTGGATCTTTGTTCCCGAATAAATATTCAGAGGGGTGTGTTGGCCCGATTACAAATTTATTCAGGAAGGATCTTTAGCTTTTTGTACCTCTGCCCGTGACGGAAGGGAGGAACAGCTCGCACGACGGTAACGACCGCACGGACACCGACTGCTACCGCTCGAACAGCTACCACCGTGCAAGCTTGCTATCCAGCGTGGCCTCTAGCTCGGAGGTTGTTCCACCCCTCCGTCCTCCTGCTTGAGATATATCACAGATGATGCGTCACTCCTCGTCTATGCATACAACATCCTCTTCTACTTCAGCACATCAGCACAGCAAAAAACTCCGCAACTCGTCTTGAAAAACCCAACGGCTCCGCCCATCAACCGCTCCCTGCAGGTATTCGCAGCTGGCAATCTCGGTCAGACGCAATGAACGGCAGAGGACGGACACAAAACCTAGACCCACACCCCCAGAGCTTTGACACCGCGCACACGCATGTATTCATATGTAGGTATGCATAGCTTCATGAATCTCTCATCCAGTTATGCATCGATCCTGTGCTGTCGTCGCTCAAGAATCGGTCGTAATGCGGTTTTTCTTTCCAAATGCTCTTCTCCGCTTGGTGACTTCTCCGCTTGGTGGCATAAGTATGCATACATCATAACCATCGACCGTGAGAGTGCCCTCCTGAAAGGTGCATGGTTAAATAACTGGGGCATTAGTGGCTAGGGTGTGCGTGTCTGGTGGGTGTGCTTTGTGTTGGCAGCGAGCCGTAGTTGTCTGTTGATGTGTTCATCATCCTGTTCAACATGCATGCATGCGATATTTCAGCCAGCTGCCCAGCCGGAGAGAGAGGGGAAATAGCATCTCGCTGCGTGGTGTCGCTCTGCCTCTCTCGTGAAACACATCCCAACCACATGCGGAAGTCTCTCAACACAGGCGTGCGTATTCATTGTACATAGTTCGCTGACAGCAGCGTAGCAGTTCTGAAAGTCTCCCGTCTCTCCAAGTTGGCCTCTCTCTCCTACGTACTGCTGTATGCTGCTGCAGGCAGCAAGGTGTGCGCACACTGGACGGAGTTTCGGATTACACGTCATGTTTTGGAGTTTTAACCTCGGAACACCCATATATGAAGGCCTCCCCGTTCAAAGATATGTACCCCACGAGTTTGAAATAGAAATTGGATTTCCACGGAGATTCCTGAACCATGGTTCGGGACAAAAATGCCAAATAAATATCAAGGAACCGGGAACGCGAGTTTGAAATATGTCAGGTAACAAACATAAATTGTTCCCCAACGATGCTACGCAATAAAGAGCCAAAATTGAGAGAAAGTTCAGGACCCCCACAGGATCAACAGCTATCACACCTCTCGAAACATGCGAACTATACTACTCTGCTGGTGTAACGTGATCTAACCCCGAAATGTGATCACACGACGGTGCCTGTCTCGTGTGCAACCAATGATAGCGGTGAACATGATTCATCATGTTGGTCCGACCGAATCTCACCAGATAGTCCTACTGCTGCTGCCGCCGTTGCTGCTGCCCTGTCCTTTGTCCACACTTTCAGCGCGGATGAGGCGGTTCTAGCGGAGCGAGCACGCCAACACCGCGAGATGCGGCTCAAGGGTAACAAGGACCTGAAAGACAGGGTGGAGGAGTTGAAACTCAAGCTGCACAACGAGAGGGAACGGATGCAGAAGGAATTCGAGAGCCAGGTCAGAGTTCAGATCACTCCGAACATATTCCATGCCTGTGCTCCGGGAGGGACGAGTCTTGATAACTAAAAAATGCTGCTTTTCATCTTGTGGTGTTGCCTGTTGTGTGAAGCGTATTTTGGCTGCGTCGCCTTTCGCCTTCACCACTTGGTGCGTCTTTGGGCGTGTGCGGAAACTTCACGCTTTGGGCACATATGCCCATGTACCACGCAGAAACCACATAGCCCCCACAACATCGCTCCAAGTATGTATGGTAGATACAGCAGGGCAGCATTCTACATGTTGAATGTTTCCCTGCTTGTAGATACGAAACGACATATGCATACACGAAAGTGCGCCACGATGGCCATGGCGCAATCAAAGGGACAGCGAAAGCCAGTGGAGTAGTGGAGTGTTTTTCTGAGCACTTTATTTACCACCGCCGTCATGCGGCTGTACGGCTGAGCGATGTGCCTTACAGACGTAGAGGAGCTGTGAACTAGGCACCGGAACCATGAAAGCCGAGTATGGCTGAATAATACACAACATTGAGGTGTGCCAACTATCCACAGCATCGGGGCTGCTTTTGCAGCCACGGAAATAGGCATGGTTTTGTACGATGGCGCCCCACTTTTTTAGCTGGCGAAATGCATGCCATCGATCAGTGTTTTCTCCATCTGTTGTATTGTATTAGTGTGCATCTAGATGCCCGTTCTTGCTCCCTCCGTCCCCTTCCTTCCCCTTCCCTTGTTCGCTCACTGCCCCCTGTGCTGCTGGTCCTCTACCTCTATCGTAGTTGATGGCGGTGCGGGAAGAGATGTGGGCCCAGGCGGCCAGGGACAGGGATGCGCTCGAGGCGGAGCTTAGCTTGAGGCACGAGGCCGAGCGGTCGAGATTCCTGGAGGAGGCCGGCGAGCGTGACAGCGAAATCGTAGAGGAGGTGGGCGCATTCTTGTGTTTTTTGTTAGCTGCAGTAGCTATGCAAGCCTGTCGCTCCGCCAGGCTTCGTGGACTTGCACAGCGTTGTTGAGAATGTTGAGAAAAAACAAGAAACGATAATGATTGATTTCTATGCGCAGTGGATGGAGGCAAGGTTAATGATTTCAACGGGAAACTATCTCTCCGTGAAACTTTTTCGTAGTTTGATGCTTGAGCTTCGGTACCATTCTCCAGCTACCATCGGATCAAGCGAGTGAGTCCACGCTATTATTACTAGAATGCCGTCATTGTACGATGGTACATCATCTGCATGATGAGGTAGAAGGCGTTCTCGTTGTTGGCTGGGTGCAATGGCGATTGCGACACAATACCGTTGGATTCTGGTCTAGCCCAAAACCGACCTTATACGAGAGAGAGAGAGAGAGAGAGAGAGAGGACGGATTGCGTTGAATTTGTCGATGTCAGTCAAAAGTGTTTCAGAAGTCCTTCTGTGGTCTACACTTGGGTCGGCAAGTGATTTCTTGCCGTGGTCTCAGTCTCGATGGCGGCGCATGTCTTACTGATTCGTATTCGTTACCGGGAGTTTTGCCGTGGTTGATGTGGTGAGCATACATCGCGGGGGAGCACAATCACAACTGGCATCACACGGTTCCGCGACTGTTCACTTTCTTGCAATGTTCTGTTAGCGAAAATATTTCAAGAGTCCGTGTTGAACGAACTTTTTCTTTGTTTGTCGGTGAAACGGTACCTGTAACGGTCCGTGATGGGTGGCCTCTACCAGGTGAAGCGCAAGATGGCGGAGGAAATGGAACGGGATCGGGAGTTGTACGCACAGCGGGCGGCGTTGGCGGAAGAGGGCCAGGAAATCGCTCGCGAAGAAAGAAATCAGCTCCAGGTAGGCCAAGAGACTCGTTATTTTCGGCTATTTTCGCTTGCGCGTATCGTATCGGACGCTGGCGTGCGATGTATGTAGCAAACCCAGCTTGTCTCTCGCATTGAATGACAACGAACAGTTGCCTAGTTTTTCTCTCAGGTACACAGCGAACACAGCAGTTCGTGGTATCCCTCTGCACATGTTCGCCAGAACGTTTCTCTCCTTCGAACAGGCCGCCGCCGCGTCTGAGATGACGGGTTGAAACGGGGGAAAGCCCTTTCGATCTTTCAATTGCTTCCCAGTAGGATGCGATGCTTCAGTTTATTCCGTTGACTCAACCACAGTATTGTGGTGATGCAGTGTTTTACCAAGTCCTCATTTCAGCACGAATACTCCACCAACGAAGCATTGTGTGAGTGTCCAAGCACCGCGACACGGCATTCTTCCATCGATACCGTCATTACACTCCAAAGACTACACGGTGAAGGCAATGCTGCGGTTTCACTCTGAACCCCGAGCCCATTCATACCCCAGCCTTAGCCATAAGTTAACCGTCAACCTTCATCCTTCGTCCTGATCCCGACACTTCCGACACTTGCAGGCGGAGAAGGAAAGCCTTCTACGGCAGCTTAAGGAGACCATGGAGATGGACGACGCCAGCCGCAGGAGGATCATCCTCAAGTTCAAAGCCAGGTATGTTGCGTGGACGCCTCCTTTGGCTGTTGCTGTTCGTTGCACACATCTAGTAACGTGATTCTCGTCCTCGGATGGCTTGTCTGTGTAAGGCTGTCGGGGGTGACAGGGTCACTTGTGACTGTCCATTAATCCGATGACTCACTGGCTCCTGCTGTCACGATGCTGTAATAGTGACCCATCAGTCTACTTGGTGAGGAAACACGTGCCGCGAGGGAAGGCGAGATAGATCAAGACAATGATGGGGGGGAGTTGAGGTTGGGAACGGTTGGCTCCTGTTGATGTCGCCACCTCCTGGCTAGTGCAAGCCAAGATCAAGGTTTGTTGTTGCCTCCGCTTACAGTGTGGCCCAATAGTGAGTGTGTTTTGACGACCTCTTCGAACTTTATGGCCTAAATTCGCGTGAAAAATCTCATCACCAGGGAACACGCTATGCGAAAGAACTTCGAGGCGGAGCTGAGGGAGGCAAGGGGTGAGGCGAGCACAAGCGGCGAGATTTCCGAAGCTACGGCTGAAGAGGAGGCGTGCCTGCCCTCGCCCAACACCCTACCGGCCAAGCGACCACGATCGACCATCAAATCGAAATCGAAGATGACCACTTCGTCGGCCTCTCCAAGCATGACTGCTGCTCCCACCATGGCTGCTGTCAAGTCTCCCGGCGGAGGATTGGCCTAAACAAGAGCTGCCTCCACCCTCGCGAGGCTGACCTTGAGCCGCCGCCCTGCCCAAGTACAGCAGTAACGCCGTCGGGTGGTTGAATGATGACGACGATGATGATGGGCATCTCCTCAGAGTTTGGTAGCCAAATAGGCACGGCAGAGTCCCTAGGAATCAGCCGATTAAGGCCAGGACGTGGCGCTTGCACCCGTGGGCCCCGCCCGCAAGCCTGATATGATATTATATGGTTTGATCCAAGATTACGATATGATATGATAACCTTGCACACGGGAAAGCCGCGTTGGTGGGTGAATGAGAGGGGTGCTCCTCTTGCCATGTGGCGTTGGTGACCGCCATGAAATTCTGTCCGATACTACGGTAGATTTTTTAGTTCTCGGCATGTATCCGACAGAAGAAAAAGCTTCCGGTCGTGCAGGCAACGGGGGGGTTGGGTGGTAGGCTGCTCGCTACCAGCGTGGCTTTAGTATAGTGGCTGGAGTCAGTCGTGCTGGGGATTTACGGCTGTGACACGTGACCATCCTCGTATCGCGGTATTATCGTTGCTTGCACGTGGCCGGCGACAAGAGTATTGGATGTCAAGTTGCCTCGTACCAGGCGTTTAGCGTGAAGTTTATTATGACCAGAGGTGGATTATAATAGTAGGTGTAACCCCGGTGTTGCGTCCATCAGATGTTGATGTTTCGTGTGGTGCGAGTTGATGTCTAAAGCAGGAGACAAAAGTATAGGATTGTTGCATGACTCTCTCCTCGAGTGAAATCGCGACCGTCGACACGGATGGAAACAGACGGCATGTTTCGTGGCCGGGAACGGCAGGCTGTGGCAATGAGCATGGGTTGGCAGTGTTTGTGGGGTGTACGATACAGCAGACAGGTGGTGTCACTCACACGACGGTACCGCCCTTGAAAACCAGCATTTTTGCCCCTGTCCTCCGTGTCTCTCATTCTCTCCCTCTCTCTCTCTCGATTGGTATTCGTGGATCGGATGATGACGATCATGATTGATTTAATTGGTACTACTGTAGTCTGGGTTCTCTTATAGGTAGGCGACTGCCGTGTCGCCTTTGCTCCCCTGTACGTACATGTCACCAAGACAAGAGTAAACAGCAGTGGGAGCTCTTACACTTGACTTTTTAAGTGTGTCGGGTGGAGTTTCGTTTTTTTTCGGATTTGTTTTGTTCATAATGCCCGACCTTGTTTTGCGGCGGCGTTGAAGCGTTGTGACAAACATCCCTCGGGCTATAGCCTAGCTTGCACGTTACCTGCTCATTGGCGCACGCGCGCTCTCTCACTCTTTGCGTCTCTCTTGTCTGTCTGCGCTTGGCGCAAGTTACTCGCTATTCGAAGCACACACCTTTCCCCTTTGCACAATGTGTTACTTGTCGAAAAACATTTCAATTTCATTTCCTTCAGGCCCACGATGCCTGCGTACCGTCAACACGTATCACTCATCACGCTCACTTTGAGCAAAAATCACACCAACCACCCATTTCACAAATACATTGTACCTCCGCCATTGCCGATACTGTACTCAAGTCTACCGCTGTACATGACCTGTCCAAGCCTCGGCAGAGCGCTGCCACACTAGTTATTGGGTGAAAGAAACACAAGACGCTCAAAAGTCAAAACCGCAGCAAGCTACAATATCTGTTCCTCGCACTCCTGCTGTAGGACAACGTCAACTGAACTGGACACGATACCGCCAACAGGCCTCGACGTTCCCAAAACATTCCACAACATAGCCTTTGCTACTACTGTACCATGGGTGGCCACCCCTTGTCCCTGTCTCTACATAAGTCGCCTCTAGGCCCTGGTGGGCTTAAAACCTGTACTGGCTGAACCCATCTACCTCATATTTCTCCGAGCACTCGTCCATACGTCAAGATCGTCGACAACGAGCGAATCTGGTCCCGGACCTCACCCGTCCCCCCCCAACCCCGGTTCGGCGACCGCCTACACCACCTCAACACTTTGCCCCCAGGGGACATCAAGACTTCAAGTTTGGCAACGAAGTTACCCTCGCTGGGTACACAGTAATTTGTTGGTTTTGAGGCCGTGCGACCCCCACCAAGCATACTTCCACACGATTTAGGAAATGCACGCATCAACGCGCGCTGGATCTACAACTATCACAGCGCGGCCAAGGTTTGCACCATTGCACTATTGAAGTCAATCCATCTCCGCCGTGAGTGTGTGTGTGACCGAGTGTTTTTGTCGGTAGTACTTTCCTCTTTCCTCTCGTCTGTTCTGGTGCCAGTCTATCACACGTTCGAAACATGTTTGACTTTCAGTTTCCAATAGGCGCGCCAATACTCAAAGCAGTACAATAGGCGAGGTGAGTCACACAAGAGCAAGACAACTAACACAGGGACAAAAAACAACATGGAGTATCTACTGTCCCATGTTACCCCTGCGTTACGGTGCTCTCGCCTTCGGTGTTAACGCCAGAAGCACGAAGGGCACGTTCAGCAGTCCCTCCCCACGTACGGTGTACATTCACAAGCAAACCATTCTCTAGATGGCAAATTTGTCACCGTCCCTAGAAAGAATCGAACCCACTATCTAGTACCAGTAGTATATAGTGCAGTCTTGACCACGGGTCGGCCGTCCGAGTCGAGCGATGTGAAGGCATGTCAAGTGAAATCGCCCGTTTGCTCTTCCAAGGCACGGATAGCAGGTCTGGCCCGAATCAAATGGCATTGTACGTGGTAGTAGCGTGTAGTAGCGTAGTACAAAAACGGCTACCGGCGGGCAGGGACGGGTGCCGATGTTTCTGCTGCCGGGGCTGCTGGAGGCGGCGGCGGCGGCGGCGGCGGCGGGGTGTCGTCGTATTTGGGCTGCTTGACGTTGAAGATGGCGCGGATGGTACGAGTCACAGCGCGCTCCGAAAGGTTGGATGCAAGCTGGACGGTGAGCTCTTGGGCTTCTGGCTCCCTCAGTAGTCGCCGCAATAGCGGGATAATCTGAAATGAAAGAACAGAAAAATACGGCGAGCAAACAGAGTGCAGTAGCTCGTCAAAAAACGGGGCAATGCATCCTGCTCGATACATTCTACTTCGTACACGACAGAAAAGATACATAAAACTGACGGGCGCGGGAAGGCTAGTGCTTGGATCCAGCTAATAGGGTTTTCGGCATCCGACCTTCCAAAATATACGGGAAGGACGTTTGCTGACTTGTATAGAAAATTAGCACCCGCCGGTCGAGCCATCCGCCGGCTTAACAAGAGAAAAACCTAGCTGTACGCATAACGCGAGTTTTCATGGACGACTGCGCCATGGAAGAAACTAAACAAACATGAGGGAAAAAACGTTCGCATGGACCCATCACTCGACGTTATACTACTGCTGTCATAACCTATTATTTCTTCGTTTTAGTGAAACGATAACTCCCCCCTCCGACCGATCGCACCTTTCCAGCGTCGAACCCTGCGCTACTGGTGAGGAGGTTGACCACGCGAGCGGTGGAGGCCATGGCAGGCGTCATGTCCTTGTTGGCCATCAGGTCGTCTAGCACCTGACGGTCTCCAGACAGGAACCCGGGGATCTTCCCCGCGTTGATCTGCGTGTGAGGGGCGGGTGGTGGGTGGGACGGGCATCGCCAAAGAGGAGATGCCAACGGGATGGTCCGAGAGAGCTTCGTACCGACAGGGTTGCATGAGGCGAAAGGCTGAAGCTTCTCCACCAGCAATTAATGAGACACCTTGATTGGCCACGCTGTGTGTGTATCGTAGTGATAGTTTGGTATCTTTTACAACCAGCGAGGTATTGTTGCAAAACATGGAGCCAAACAAATGGCCCACAATGATGCAGGCAACAAAACAGGACCCTGGTACAGAGATGACATGGAAAATTTCCTGCACGGCTTTCGTTCACTCGCAAATATAACCGATACAACAAAAAAGGGGCATGCATACATGCATACCCGATACCAATCAATCCCCGATACGACCTCGGTAGACGATGATCAAAATTACGTGCGAAGTGCAGTAATCGTGCTTTGTTCATGCGTCAAAACTAGGCATATCGTCATGTATCTCACCTGGCCCACGTTCTTTCTAGCGAACGTGATTGCGTCGACACCGAGCTGGTCCACTTGATCAACCAGTTGCACAGACAGCTGCTGCCTGATCTGTGCCCCGTTCTCGCTGAGGAGGTAGTCTACCATCTGGTTGATGGCAAGCGTCACGTCATAGTCGCGAGTGCTGCGCGCCTCTTCCAACAGCTCTTCGAACCGTTCCCACCTGTCACACCACGGTGAAGCAAGAGCGGCACCAGGCAGCCTTCAATTCAACCAAATGGTCGAAACACCAAAATACTCTAAAACAATCGATTCATCGTACCACCTGTGGGATGGAAATTGCAATTGAGCTCCTGCTTACAGGTATGTCACTCGTGCCATGTATTCCACATTCACAAGCGCCGCACGCCGCGTAAAAAAGACGATACAACGATTACCCCACCGGATGGCCACTTCCATGTGACGGCATATGCATATGATCCTGTGAATGCGACGTACACCTTTGGCGCCGGAGAGACAAAATCGTCCAGTACCTAACCCATAACACCAGCACACCGTTACATACTTGCACACCGCTTGCTCTTGTGGAGTGCGTGTTTCGCACATGCTTGCTGAATGACACAGACGTCATGGCTTGCCATGTCATGCCATGCCATGCCATGACGCTCGTTGTTTGGCTGTCGCTCACCTCGGCTTTCCGTCCCTGAATAGGAGCTGTTGTAAAGCATCCTGCAGCTCCGGAGACGAGTCGGTCAGCAACCGGCTCGCGATGTACGGGTAAGCTTCCGAGAGGATGCGTGACTCGCGGTCCACCTGTCATGCGGTGCGGTGCGGCAATGGTCAGCGAGGACGGTCACCAGCAAGGAATGTCATGTGAATCTATTTAGCGTATCGATCCACTCAAGCATCGACTCTGCGCACGCAATTTCGTCAAACCAAACCGCACCCTCGAAACTACCGATTTCACGTTCCCAGCAGGCGTACATAGCTTTGGGATTCGACACATGGCATTAAATCACCTGTAGCGCAACTCCCTCAAGCACCCCCAGGCAGCGGATGATGGCAATGTAATAAGGCGGCAGCGAGAAGGGGAACGTGTACATGACATCCCCGAGCTGGTTGATCACGTTCTTGAAGTTCAACTCCGACACCGAAGCGTTCAGAACGTCCGGCAGAGCTTTCGCCAACGCTGCAACGATCGGGGCCGTATCCTGGAGATAACAGTACGAGAGGGGGGGCGCAGATAGCTGAAGTCAGGTCGGGTCTGCCGGTGGAGTGACACAAAACCGAACAGCGCACTCGTGAACCGCCCATGTTGATGAAAGTGACATTTCTGGCGGTGGTTGTATTGTAGTGGTCAGCGTTTGTGAGACGCGCGCAGGTGTAAATCGAACCTGGTACTTGTCTCGTCCCCGCGGAATCGACTAAAACCATGCCAAACTCCGCCAAGCGACTAAAACCACGGCAGGGTGAGCGTGTGGAGTACACCACACACCACGGCCAAGGCCACGAACACGCAGACACAGCACCTGCAGCAAGCTCTTGAGGCTTGTGAGGGCAGTTTCGAACGCTCTCCCAACAACGGATCACCAGAACCACACGAAAGTACAGTAGGACTATGCCGACGTGGCTTGGGGGTAAAATCGGACTTGGACACCGGTACAGTACAATACCTGATCCTGCGGGATGAATCCCAAGCGCTTGTAAAGGTCGGCCAGCGCCACGAAGTCGCGGTTAACCAGGTGAATCACCGCCTCGATTATCCCGTACCGCTGTCCCGCTTCCACGTAGCTAACCTGTAGATACCATCGTGCGTCGGGTTGGAGAGCATTGGACAACGGCAAGTGTTCGACGACACAAGATATAACATCTCCTTTATCTCGATAGCCAGGCCAGGTCGCCTACCCCCTACCCAACGTCATGTTCAAGGAACTGCGGTTCCCTTGCATATCAAAAAAATACACAGCCGGCAGCAACATCTAAATAAAAGTGTTGAAATGTCACGCTTCCTCTCGTATTAGACTTGACAGCCTCGCGAATACCGCTTATAGTAAAAGCGGGTGTAAGCACACAAAAAAGAAAAAACTGATAAGCCTCAACAACACGCACACCTGAAGATATCCAAACCACAAATAATCCACAATACCATGGCATAAGCACTCTCCGACCGCCTTGCATTTTCCTCTCGTCAACTCACTCAATCATCTACACCGTGCAGAAAACAATAAACGTCAAACCGACAAGGCAACCCTTCAATCTGCTTTCGTCACTTACATCACTTCTATCCATTGCGGGGGGCTGCCCGAACTCTCTCCATACCATACAACAGGTGGGTGCCCGAACTCTTTCCACACGACACAAGCTTATCCAGTGTAAAAAATATCACTACCACTCACCATGCCGAAGTCCAAGTAGCAAAGCTTGCCGTCTGGTAGCGCCAGAAGGTTTCCTGCAATTCATTGGTAGCATTGGGGAGGATCTTTCATCTTTAGGAGTCGTTCGGGAGTGGGTGCAAAACTGTTCGCTTGTCTATACCATACCAGATATTAAAGTCTGCAGCTCAACATTTTGGCGGAAGTGGGCCCTCTTCATCTTGCTGCTCGTGAATCGTCAACATCCCAGCAGGAGCCTCAAATGCCAACGTGTCAAGTCAAGGTCTTATCCTACTGTACCACAGCAGTTTGCCATATAACAAGAAAAAGACTGTTTCGTGGCGTACCGGCGTGAGGGTCCGCGTGGAAGAAACCGTTCTCCAGCATCTGCCTCAGGGAGCATTGCACCTGCACAGCAACAACAAGTAGGGGATAGGTGTTCGTTCACGCGGCGTGTAGAAACGGCCGGGGTCAGAATACCGAGGGAAGCCTTCCCCAGCGCCATGGCGATAAGAGCATCCGAAAGAGAGTTGCCGCGGAAAGCGCGCGTTGCGTCCTCCCATGTACACAAGATGCCAGGCCGGTGCTAAAGCGAGAACCCTATCGCCCCCCAGAGTAGACCCACCTACGGTAGCGTGCATCAACATTCAACACAAGCACCGTCACCCCTTGGATACCACGACCAAATGGTAGTCCGAGAACACCGTCGGTTCAGACCTCTAAACACAAGCCCGTACGGCACACGTAAGTACCAACAACGACAATCTCACGCTCATCACGATGCAGGAAAACAACATATACCACCGAACCACGGTGCCACACGCTGGGATTTGGAATCAGCAACCAAAAGATCAGATCGCATCTACAGTACAAACGCTTGTAGTTTAGTTTACACATGCGACAGGAAGGAGGGCCTGTTCTCACCATCGTGTCAACGAGTCTCGCTGGCTCCAGACCGTACTTGTCGAGCATAACCCGGTCTGACAGTCGTGCCCCCTCCACCCACTCCATTGTCATCACTTCTCGAGACGTCAGTTCCGCGTATACCTTGAGGAGAGGAGAGCAAAGCAGAAGAAATCCCACAAGCACGTGAGCGCATTCTGAGGTGACGAGAGAGAAAGGGGCTTCGTGTCTGATCCGCGCAGGACCCCCCCCCCCGCCCGAAAAAAAACAAGACCGAGTCGATGCCAAGCAAAGCAAAAAGAAGATCTCTTTGCTACTGCTGCTGGTATAACCACTGCTACACGATGCGTGACTACAAACGTAACGCTCTCTGGGTAGGGAATGAAAACGAGCCACAGAGTGGGTTTCGCAGGAAATCGGCCTTCGGAAGACCTGAGCGATTCATGTGACAGATAGGGAGTGCCGACAAGCCTTGCAGCCGAACACCGTGCAAAACTTTTGAGAATACAGTACTGTAGGGTATCCAATCGCACCCGCTGCAGCGACATCAAGCCAATCATCCCTCGTAACGATAGGATAGGATAGGATAGGCCCATCGAACTGCTGCAGCATACGTGGGGCAAAGGCATGAGTTATGGCATCACAAGATCAACAATACAAAGCGTGGACCTTGAAGCAGCAAAATAATGACACACAACGACAGGTGCCGGCCTGATCGATAGCAAAATACGCCGCTCAACTCCATAAATTCTTGGCAAATAATCCCCCACGACACGGCGGACGTGAGGATATTCATTCCCATTTCCTGGATTGTTTCTAGTTGGCCCCAAGTCCTTTCATTAGCGACCGGGTTCGCGAGGTCTGCGCTAACAACAACAACAACAACAACAACAACACGATGTGCCAAAAAGACAAAAACAACATGTCACTAGTAGCACCTCTGTGGCTCCTCCCTCACCCGCTTCTGTCTCTCTCTGTCTCTCTGTCTCTCTGTTTCTCTCTCTTCTCTCTCCCTCTTTCTCCCTATCTTTCCGTTCCTCCCTCTCTCCCACCCACCTTAGGCACAAAAACATCGGGGATGTTCGCGTACAGCTCCGCGAACCGCTGGCAGTTAACCATCTCCGCACGGTAGTCAATCTCCCTGTAGATCAACTCCCCGAAGTCGTCGATGATGTTGGTCAGGTCCACCTCTCGCTTCAAGACCTTAAGCGCCTTGGTCAAGAACCCTGCGTAGAAACGCAGCACGTAGAGGTCGAGGGAGATAGTAGACTCGCAGTTCGGCCTCTGGACCTTGATCGCGACAAGGTTTCCGTTAACGCGAAGCCGGGCTTTGTACACCTGCAGAAAACAGCAGCGTCGAATCATAGACCGCATGATGCAGAAGACAGCGAAGAGGGGAGCTTCTCAGGGATGGGGCGCACCAACGCACACATTCAATCGATCGTACTATTATAGCGTATTTGGTTCCGCGGCAGGCGAGGGAGTCACGGGTGCCCACGAGGCTACGGCTGCTGTACCGTACAGCACGCAGGCTTGACAAGACAAAACAAGGCGAGACACGACAGGAGGGAAGGCGGTGACGTGACAGTTGGCTTTCCTTTCCTTCATGTGCGCACACGTCCAGTCCATTCACCAACCGTTCGTTTGTGTAGCTGCCAACCGAGATACACTGTTCACGACTTCCGAGGGTTGCATCAGCGAAGAGAACGTGCGTCGGGGGGGCTCCGCCGGCGACACAGCAACAGACACGGTTCTCAGGTTTCCTCTTGAAACAACTCTTGTAGATATGTCCCTCGGAAACCACCCACAGCGACAATTTCGGCATCGACAAGTTGGATATGCCGGTACGTCATCGCGCCACTCCCCCGGCGCTCACACACAGAATGCCAAGCGGGGTCGAATCTTGATGCCGAAGGGGCGCCTCATCATCTTTGCCTCATAATCCAAAACTTGCCTGCCCGATAGACGCCGCCGCGATCGGCTCCGGCTCAACCAGCTCGTACACGTCCTCGAAGGGCACCCCGAGCTCCAACTCCACCACCGCAAAGGCCTCCTTGTTGCTAAATGCCGGAACACGGTCCTGCACGGGCGAGGGGGGTGGAAGCGACACCGGAGTATGTGGCGGCGGTGGATGGGTCACACCCATGGGATAGGGGAGGATGCCACACATGCACGGGTCGAAGGATTTAAGGGCGCTCCAGCGATGGTGTGGGGGCAGCGCTGATGCGCAGCAGCTTTCGGTACGGTATCACCACCACACCTCTCCTGAGCTCGCGAAGCGGGTTGTCAGTGTTGACACGACAGCAATAACAACAACAACAACAACAACAACAACAACAACAACAACACTACCAAGCACCTGCAGTTTCTGGAGCTCATCGAGGTACTCCTTGGGAAGCAGGTCAGGTCTGGAGGACAGCGCCTGGCCGGCCTTAATGATGGCAGGCCCAAGCCGGCCGATGATGTCCAGCAGCTCCCCCGCCCGCTTCTTACGGTTCTTCAATTCCACGCCAGACTAAAACCGCCAAGCCATCACAACCCATCCAGTTGCGGTCCGCAGGTACCGAGCACCAAAAAAACGCGGAAATGGGGTCAACGCCATTGGAAGCAAGAAATTTACTGTGAATAAGGGTGTTGGTGGGAAGCTTGCGGGTGGATTGGAGGCGGTATTGCGCAAAATGACGTTTGTGTCTCTCCATAGCATAATAGACGACACGCCACATCGTCGCGCCTATTCACCAACGCCGTTGAACGTCAGCGAGCCGAACTTTCCTGTACTCCAGACAATCGTCCTTCAGCAAGTCAAACAGAGCTTCACGGCGGCACGAGCAGGCAGGTCTAGTCTACCCCACAGGTTCCCTCTAGCGTTGGTCCTCAATACTCAATACCAAGCTCGCCCTTACTGGCTCTACGTGACTCACGTCACATCACGTGGCAGAGAGTACCGTTTGGTTGCGGATCGTACCGCACGGCTCGGGAGAGCACCGTATACCGGTGCATGCCTACCACGGGCATACAACAGGATCGCCTCGCCCAGTAGTACAGCAGCAATACCCTACCAGGTGTGATTGTGATGATTGTGATGTGTACATGCATTCATACACACCTGAATGTCAAACAGGACCTTAGCCACGAACGTCCCAAGCGGTACGAAGAGCTCGACGTTTCTCACGAGCCACTTGACGGGCTGCTTGAAGAGCTGTTCCTCCATACGAACTGGGTCGTATCGCACCTCTGGCTCGGCAACCTGACCGACGTGATAAAATATGTTAGTCGATTCGCGTCGTCACATAAGCTGCCCTGAGTCATGCAGTGGGCGCGACACCTGAAGGTACTCGATTTTATCTTTTTGCCCTCTGCCAGCTTCGATGCATTGCATTCGGTCCTGTACGCTCAACATGCTGAAAAGACGTACTTCCAAAGATTTCAGATTCTCGATTGCCGCCACTAAGGAAGAGCCACCTCCCGTGGTTCGCAACAAGTCTTAGTCTTTGGAGAGCGATCATTGAAGCAGCCGAAGTAGCACCTGCCATATAAAATCATGGCAGTTGCTCGGTGTAAACCCACAAGGGAGTCCCGCATCCCGCATCGCGTGAACAAATTCGGCGAACGAGGACGATTGTCGCGTCGATTACCACTGTACACAAACACCTACCACGGTACAACACTACGCAGGCACTCACTGCTTCTGACCCGCTCTTGGCGCCTACCCCGCAGTACTGTGCATCTATCAGTCTATCCCCGGTTCACCTTGAACTGGAGATCCCTGACCCTGGTTTGCTTCCGAAGGCCGGTCATCTCATCCAGCTGTTCGCCTGGAGGGAAAGCGTAGTCGCCCGTCGCCTCCAGCAACCTCTCACGGGCTTTTCCCAGTCGCCTGCAGCAGTCAGTTGCATTGCATTGCATTGCATGGCATTGCAATAGCAGTCAGTTGTGGCGCGAGCACGTGGCACACGGCGGGCAGGATGAACCTGCGCAATGAGCGCTGGCGAGAAGAAAACTTGACTACCAGCACTGCCGTTGGCTTGATACCTGGCTCTTTGCCTGTCGTCTCAGACTGCTGTGTGCACGTGTGTCTATCTAACCGTTGGCTGTGTGCTGTAGCATCGACCAATTTTTCTGGCTCAAGTACGAAAATACATGAAAGACGCTCGTTTTCATCGTGTTTCCCCGTCCCATCTACATTGTATTCTGGACAGCACTCTCACCCCGTTCATATGTTTGACGGACCAGCGGGGGTCACACAGGAGGAGTAGGAGGGGTACTGCTGTAGCCTTCAATTCTAACACGAGAAGGGTTCAGCAGTCCCTTCCCTCTTACAAGCAGCTGCGTGTAATCACGGCTGTGCGCCATTCACCTCTATACTGCGAGTTGAACTCCGGAGATATCCGAACCCACACCCCAAGAGCATCAGAAGGCTGCAAGCTTCCCAAGCGGACCACTTAGGGTTCTACTGCTGTTGTTGCGTGACCGAGCCGTGTTTGCGAAATACGATTGAGAAAACATACATGCTTTCGAGTCCACACCGTTAACACAAGGAAGGAGGGGAACACACAAGGCTGCACGGACAGAATGAGCCAGCCTCGAGACTTCAGACAAACAAGAACATGTGCTTACGAGTATTCGCGAAAAAGGTAGACTCGTGGAACCGTCAGTGTTCCCCCCGCCCCCCCGGAATCCCGTCCCAGCTGCAAAATGGTGCTTGTGCAGGGTAGGTTATTTAGTGGCAGCCTGTCTCTAATGCGTTTGAGGGTTTGCTTGTCAGTGCCATACGGAAGTGTACCAAAATTGGTTCCCTCGTACAATAGGCAAGGGCAAGGACGTTGTGTTGGGCTTGACGATTGGAGCAGCACGAGTGTGACATCAGTGCGAACAAGTCCGTTGCAATAGGCCGTGGAAACCATAGATGAGCACACTTATTAACGATTTCCACCGCCAATTGCTACG